TATCTTCGGCCGCTGAGCGTGCTTGTCTCAAGCGCTGCGTGTTCCTACTCCAGACGCTGCGTGTCTACTCCGGACGCTGTGTGTGTCTACTCCGGACGTTGTGTTTGCCTACTTCAAGCGCCACGTGTACCTACTCCAGACGCTGCGTGTCTACTCCGGGTGCTGCGTGTATCTGCTCCGGGCGTTGCGTGTGCTTACTCCAAGCGCTGCGTGTACCTTCTCCAGACGCTGCATGTGCTTTCTCCAGATTCTGCGTGTACCTAGAGCAGGCGCTGTGCACCTATCATAGGCATAGCCTGTGCATACTTCGTTGCAGTATCTTTATTTTTGTTATTTTTTTTTAATAATATTGTAAATCACTATCATCATTACAGCCCATCATCACCTTCATACCTTTTTTTATAAAAAGAAACTGTAAATCTTTTCAAATTTTTAAATAATTTATTTTATTTTTGGTTGTTTTGTTGTAGTTAGGTTAGGTTATTTAGTTTTTAATTGTCGCTTCACGACACATTTTCTTTCTTTCTTTCGCTCATAGCCAGTTATTTTAAAATTTTCGTATTTTTGAAAAATACTAAAAAAAGGGCTCCAAATAATAGATTTTCTCACAAAAGAAGGGAACTTGAAAAAAAAAGGAAAAAAATCGGACCGAAGACAGGACGCGAACCAAGGCATTACGATTTCGCGAGCGTTCGATATCCACTTGAGCTATTACGATCATTAACAGTGTCAAAATTTATTATTGTAGCAGTTTTTCATTGCCTGAAAACATGGACAAAAAAGACATTTTCTAAAAATAAATCCTAGCTTGATCGATTTATTGCCCCCGAAACTCCCTGGACACTAAATTTTATGAAAATCGTTGGAGCCATTTCTGAGATTCCGATTATATATATATTCTTGTATATACAAGAATTGCTCGTTTAAAGGTATAGGATAAAATTGTAAATGCATTTTAAAGTTCATGTTTTGGGAATTTCCGGTGAATAATAACATTATGGAAGGAAGCCGATAGTAAATTTAAATATTTGTAGGAAATTAATATATGTATATACATGTATATATCATACATATATGCCTGTATAATCATATACAGACATACAGATGGAGCTAAAGAAGTTTTACTTCGGTCGTGTGGTAGTTATATTTATTTATACATAAGAGGTATAATACAAAAATCAACAAGATGTATATTATAGGTTATGGGGGTTTTTGTTTGTAATTGAATAATGCAGATGCACACAGAGACTCCAATGCGTGCAATAAGTAGGTACTAATACCTACCCGTATTATAGTACGTTTCTAGGGCAGGCGGAAAAAAGTACATTGACCTCAAGTATTATGTTAGCATCGAAACAAAACGACAGTTATTACTTCCATACATTTATTTATAGATTACGTATCATTATGCGCTAAGCGTGTCTCATGGTACGGGGTAGGGTGAAGGAAGCGGTCATTCAGAGGTAATAAACCTGTTTGGACGCGATTTGCGACAGGTCTCACACGCTGCTTTGGGATGCGCTTGTGTGTAGATAGTTTGATATTTAAAATTTTCGGTTATAGTAGTTGTTTTCATTTTTATTAAGTTTGTTTTGTTAGTTGTATTATTACGTGTTGTACTAAAGTTTTTGTTATTATTTTGTGACGTTTTGCATATTATCACTAGTATGAAATCGGGTCCATCGACATGAAAATCTCATAAAGACTACGTCACCACGAAAGAAGCGGAAAGTGTCGCATATTTCGGAAACCGAAAAATAATGACTGTAAACATCTACAAATATGTAAAAGAAATGCGGTCTCGTAACGTATATCCATCCCAAACGGATATGAAAAAGAAGACTGCCGATATTTTATTTGGTTATAATCAATGTGACGCACTCTTCTACGTCTTCGTCGTCATAAAATGATTCTGAAATAGATACGGATGAATAGTCTGTCAAGTGTCTCTGACAATCTATTATGAGAAGTTTTATGCATGCGTCAGGTTTGGCTGCTTAAGAATGCTTAGCGTTAAAAGTTCGTCATTTTACCTGACTGCCAAGAAGTGGTTATGTTTTATACAACTACCTACCTACCTACTTATTAAAGTACTTACCTATTATTAACGTAGAAGTCTAAATTGTAATAACTCATGATTTATAAATAATAAAAAATAAGTATTAATTTGCTTTTTAATTCATTTAGGTACAGGATAATCTTCTTTCTTTATTATATAATAATAGACGTAGGGCTTGTAAAGAATTTCGCACTCGGCACCCTTATCTTTCACTCTGATGATGTATGTAATGATAAAAGGATAAAAAAATGAACCTAAACAAAAAGATTGCCTACCCCGATGATATCGTCAAAGGTACTTTTTTCCGCCTGCCCTAGAAACGTACTATACTTACGAACAGTATCATCAAATGATATTCTGTACAAGGGCGGAAAGGGTTAGTAAGGCTGATAAGGAGAGTGACCTGCGGAATTACCGAAACAACTCTTCGAAAAACTTGCCGCGGACAAGCTTAGAAGAAGGAAAACCTCTTCAAAAACCATTTGCCCTAGCTAAGGTGTAAAGATAATCGTGCTGAAAGCTGAAAGGCAGCAGGGCGAAAGATGCTGTCGCAAACGGTTTCCCTTGGATCACCTGGCGCCACTTTATTGTATTTAAGTCGCCTTACTGCCACATGCCGGCTCTTTTACGGCGGACTTTTACTTCCGAGCATGCTCGTGGGAACAGTATGTAAGAATCAAATTTAATAAATAAACAAACAAGGAGACAAGACAGTTGAGAGTCAAACCGACGAACGTACCAGTAGAACAGGTAAAACGCGACGAAGCGATCAAGCAAGAATATCGTTTACTAGGAGAGCTAGAAGTAGTTAAGGAGACGCTGAGAATTATTAAAAAGAAGAGAAGAGTGAATGTCAAAGGTTACTTCTCGAGTCCTCTGTCTACAGAAAAGAGTGGAAAGAAGCGCAGAAGAAACTGTCTCTAAAAGAAGCGGTGGTGAAGCAGGTTCTGCGCAATGTAGATCGTAAAATCAAGACTTCCTAAAATGAAGCGGACGGCACTCTGGACAATACGGAAAATAGGAGGCTGGCACCAAATCCATCACAGGGTCCCGAAGGACATGTAGTAAAGGGAAATAACGGTAAAATAAATGTTGTCTCAAAAGGCAAGAGGAATCGCACTGCTGAGAATACAAGCGGGGCGGAAACGAAAGCTGAAAAACAACGACCGGAGGCAGTGCTGATAAACTCAGGAGAGGGCAAATCTTCTGGTGAAGTTCTGAAGGCTCTGCGCTTCGGGCTTCAACCGGAGGATTTGGGGGCGCACCAGTAAAAGCCATAAGGATAGCCAGGAAAGGTGGTCTTCCTATCGAGTTCGAGGGATCTGTCAAAATCGCTCCATACTTAGGAACAAGATCACCGAGGTGACGTGGAGGTACGCCATCTCATCCCTACCACTACGGTGGTTATAGATGTGTTAGACGCCGCCATGACTATTGAAGAGGTCAAGGAAGTCCTGAGAAGGGGCATTGGTTAAGGTATAGACGGACTCAAAGTGACAATCACGCAACCCAATAAATGGGGAGCCGTCCGCGCCCATATCGAGGCTGGACTCGAGACCGCTGCGGCTTTAGAGACGTTGGAAAGGGTCAAGGTTGGCTGGTTGATCAGCCGAGTCCGCCGTTGGGACACTTTGCGGGCTCGTGCAGGGTAAACGAGGACCGCAGGGGTTGCTGCTGGCGATGTGGGCAGGCGGTCATCAGTCGAAGGCCTGTACCAAACCTCCGTGCTGCCATTTCTCTGCAGCGGTAGTAAATGGGCGATCCTCAGATCACGTGATAGGTTCTGGACGTTGTGAGTCCTTTCCGGAGGTACTCCAAAAGAAAAGTGGTTAACGTGCTACAAGCAAACCTTCAGCGATGCAGACTGGCTCTTGATCTACTGCTTGTTTGAAACCGCGACTACAGAGGCGGATATTGTTCTGATTTCAGAGCAATATCACTGTCTGGATTAAACTGGCTGTGTGACCCTTCCGGGACAGCAGCTATTTGGATCCCGGACCGGGGTCGCTTTCCTGTGATCGAGAGACAGCATTGTATGGGTTACAACGCCAGCAGTTTCCTTCGTGGCATATTACTTTTTTTTTTATAGGATAGGGTGACAAACGAGCACACAGTCCACCTGATGGTAAGTGGTTGCTGTGGCCCATAGACATCTACATCTATCCTCGATTACGAATCAAAATGCAGATACGTTGTCACCCGTGAGGACTAAGATGGAATGCCTCGTTTCCAGCAAAAAGGGTCTCCGGTTCTCTACACTCACCATACGAAATACAGCAGCATTAAGCTACTATTTCACGCTGGTATTCTGTGAGAGCGTGGTCCTTCCCCGGTCGAGCCGACCCATTCGTGCTACAACTATACTACTAATATAACTGCAGCATGGCTCTACCACGTATAAACTTCACCCCAAACGATCCAATTGCTGATTTCCTAAAGAGGGTTGACGATCTCGTGAGAGTCTTTCGCCACCTGGAGGAGGATAGGTGGTGACTTTAATGCAAAGTCCATGACCGAGACTTGAATGGGGCATGGAATATAGGAATAGGAAATAATATAGGAATATATACGCGGGGAAACGAGCTCATGGACATGATAGCAAGTCTCGACTTGGTCATTGTAAATAGGGGAAATACATCTACTTTCCGAAGGGCAGGTGCTCGCGAGTCTATTTTAGATCTTACGTTCGCCACTCAACGGGTAGATCATGTAGTCTCGGACTGGTCTGTTTCAGAGGAGTATACGGTGAGTGACCATCAATACATCTCGTATTCGATACATAAACTGTGGGGAAAACCCCCGATTATCCCGAAGCAACGAATGACGCGGATAGGATGGAGACTATCGAAACTGGACGAGAGTGCCTTACAAAAAGCAGTCAGAACTCTTCCGGACGTTTCCGCAGTCACGCGAAGATGTAGTGATGCTCGTCGTTCGAATAATGGATATAATCGTCACAGGGTGCGACGCCGCTATGCCTAGTCAGATCGCAATTTCACGTAGAAAATCGGTTTACTGGTGGACTACGGAGATTGCGCTGCTCAGGACTGAATGTCTACGTCTTAGGAGACAGGAATTTACGTCGCGAAATCGAGATACGAGGCAGCAGAAGAATGACGAGTATAAAGCGGCAAAGAAGCGACTCGTCAATGCGATCAAGGTGAGCAAAGAGAGATGCAGGAAAGCGGTCTGTAGAGAAGTAGATGACGACCTATGGGGAAACGGCTAACCGATTGTCACTCAAAAATTTTTGGGCCGCAGTTCGGCAGTTTGCAGCTCCTATAGAACCTGATAGGATGGAAGAAATAGTTAGAACTCCGTTTCCCGAACGCCATGACTAGATTTGCACTCAGAGTGCGGTAGTACCTTTCAAATGAGTCCAAACACCATTTGAAGGGTACTCATAAAGATCTAGATGACTGTGATGATTTCACCTTCCTTATAGTGGAATCCGAAGGTAAGTTTAGGATCTCAGTGACGGCACTACATAGAATAACTAGTGTTTGGACTCATTTGAAAGGGCTCATAAAGACCCAGGTAACTGTGATAAAAGATCTCAGTATCTGGGTAAAAGATCTCAGTTATGCCACTACATAGAACTATCGTTTTTAGACTCATTTAAATACCAAGGTGCCTGTGATGCTCTGACCTACCTGATGATGGAGGACTCCGAAGGTGACGGCACTAGATAGGATGATCGTGTTTGACCTTCATAAAGACCTAGGTGACCGTTATGATCTCACCTTTCTGATGGTGCAATCTGAAGGTGTGTATAGGATCTCAGTGACGGCACTATTTTTATATTTTCATTCATTACATTCAAAAATACGATATTTAAAAAAATATCACAGTCCCAGTTTGAACTCATCATTCGGAATGATCAGTTGAACTGATCCTGTGTGTGGAAATTTCTTTGGCTTAAATCCGTTCGAACTGATATCAGTTCGACTGATGACTTTAACTGACCGTGTGATCTCACTAATTGTAAAATAAATATATAATTACTAAATAAACGTTCTGTTTCAGTGGTATTTGTGGTCTATGAGATCGCTCGATTCTGTCTCTTTGGTCGGTGGCGGCTCGTCTTTAGTGTGGATCGAACACAAATAATTTTTAATTATTTTACTGTTTATAGCCAAGTGTTCTACACTTTACTCTATGTAACTGGCTTCATATTTTGAATAATATTTACTAATAATAATAATGTCATCCAGATCGAACTTCAGTCACGGCGGCTCCATGGAGACAAGCCATATGCGCAGGGCAGGATTATATTGCCAAAGTGTATGCGCAAGCACAGATGCACTCTCTATTCCCTCACTCTCATAGTCCGATTTGACCGTAGAGAGATCAGACGCAGGATCAGGCTTTACGTACTTTCCGAGGCACGAGGGTTAAACACCGCCAACTTCCTGACTCTGAGTTGTTTATAAATATAGGATTACTTAATTACTTATAAAATACTCCAATCCTAGCATAGGTATAAACCAACGTTTTGATAAAACAAATATATTGCACTAGCTGTGCCCCGCGGTTTCATTCAGCCGCGTATATCACGTGCTTGAGTCACGCAACATGACATGACACCTAGTTCAAGCATTTTAGATATCAATGTACGGAAAAATTGACATCCAGCCTCCCTCCCACTCCCAGGTGAACGTTATAACCCCCGAGGCATTTTGCTCAAACACGCGCATTTAACCAAGACGCAGAGAACGCCATTAGGAATAGTGACCCTTCAAACAATCATCGCAGAGACGCAATGCCGCAGAATACAACAAACATCAATATAACTACCGTCAGGCTTACACCATCCCAAGGTCCCTCATACGATTCCACAGACATCACCACCCGCATCCTGCATACCTCCATCTACCAGAACCACAAGATGCGTAGAATCAGGCGCAGCACACGCGCAGATCCGTCACAAGACGCAATACCGGAAGTAGCAGTAAGTATCAATGCAACTATTATCCGGATGGTGCCCCCTAACAACATACCCACATGATCCCTATCGACTTTGACAATAAAATTGGTAATCTTGTTATATAAAATAACACCAAAAAAATCATAGAGTTGTTGGACTAAGACATGGAGTTGAGTATGCTTGTTGCACTCAAAAGTACTACCAAATACACTCTTCCTAATACGAAAAATAGCCGTCGTATTATGATACAGCTGTAATAACTTTATATAGCGTTACTACGGTATGCGCTAAGACTCCGCCTACAATCGGTAAGGGTGAGCGATGTCCAACGGTAAGTCGTATTGCTACAACAAACCCGCTTACTACCGGGACTAAGATGATGTGCCTACATGCTTCATATCTGTGCGAGTCATCGTTTATCTCTATCTAGGATACTGTGAAGAAGTCTACACGCCACTATAATAATTCTTTTCAAGTTCCATTTCTATTTTCTATCAATGTAAGGTGGCATCATATTCCGAAGCATTTAGAAAAAAATTGCGTTTCATATTCCGATGTTTACCGCTAGCTTGCTACATATCTATTTATCTATGGTTTACCGTGAGCCGTTGTAGCTCAGATGGTTAGCGCTCGCTGTAAATAAATTTCACAATACGCGAGCAAACCGAGTTCGATCCCCGCCGGCACCAATGAATGAAATGTTAATTGCAATTTTAAGTGCTGATTTACCACGTGCTCGGCGGTGAAGGAAAATATCGTGAGGAAACCTGCATGTCTGAGAAATAAGAAAAAAAATATTTTGTGACATGTGAAGTTCGCCAACACGCATTGGGGCAGCGCGGCGGACTATTCCTTGCCCTAAAACCCTCTCAGAAATGAGAGGGGCCTGTGCCCAGCAGTGGGACGTATATAGACTGTAACTTTACTTTTACCGTGGAATAGCTATTTCAGATACTTGATTTATTTTAGAGAGCGATAAAAACATAAAATTCACCAGCTGATTTTCTTCAAACGTTTTGGTGCATTGTAATTCACAGAATAGGCGATAACCTCGCAGACAATATTAAGTAATCCGTTGATGCTCAGCCTACCCCGCAAGGGTTACAGGCGTGATTATAAGTATGCATCAGAAATACTATCACCACCTGTCACGCTTTCACCCTTAACTATTACTTAACTGTGGTAGAAACAGTTTTTAGTAAGCCTTAGTAATATTTATTGAACGGAAATGAATACAGTTCTTATATGTGGCTATGAATGAATCAGTATTACAATAAGAAAAATTGTGCAAAATTATAAGAAAAATATTTTTTCAGAGTTCTTATTAACTAACGTATACATAGTTTAAATTGATTCCGCTAGATGTTGTTACTAGAAATGTCAGGAAGACATGTACTTAATTCCCGCCGTTGAGTCGCGCGTCAACTTATAGTGCATACGGTACCTATACGCTTAAATTGTTTCTATTTCGTAGCTTATTCGACTACCTGCTTTCGATTTCGGTTGTTTGCTTGTTTGTTATTTGCTTTGTGATTTGGTTAAGGTTGAATGGATTTATATTGGCTTTCATTTTCGGATTTGTGTATTTTCTTGGATCGGTTTTGTTGATTTGGTTGGTATTCCTTTATACATATTTAGACTCTGGCTTTGATTTTGGATTTTGTTCATTTAGAATCGTGGATTGGTTTTCGTTGTTTTAGGTTGTTTAACAATATTTCAAAGGAATATTAATAGTATAGATAGTGTATAAGGTATCTATACATTTACTTCTTTTTTCGTTGGTTATATTTGTATTGACTACTGCTTTCGATTTCGGTTTTCTGCGATTTGTTTTGTAATTTGGTTTAAGTTGATTCGATTTTTTTGGCTATCGTTTTCGGATTCGTGTTGTGTCTTGAATTGGTTTTGTTGTTTTGATTTTAAAAAATATTTAAAAGGAATATTTATTACTTTTAGATATTTTGGATTTGCTTTTAAAAAAAATATTTAAAAGGAAATTTAATTCCTTTTAGGTAGTTTAACGTTTTTTTATAAATAGGTTTTTTGTTACTTCATAATGCCTCGCAAACGTAAGTCCAGCCTTTCAAGAGTATCTTCTCAAAGACAAGCGAAAAGATTGGCTCGATCGCTAGAATATTTAGAAGATGCTGAACTGAGAAGGCAAGAACAAGCAGAGCGTCAGGCTGCTTTTAGAGCATCTGAGACACCTTCTCAACGTCAGCAAAGGCTTCTTGAATAGACAGAGCGTCAGGCTGCTTTAAGAGCTTCCGAAACACCTTCTCAAAGTCAGGAAAGGCGTCTTGAACAGGCAGAGCATCAAGCTACTTTAAGAGCAGTGGCGAAGCTAGGGCTCCAAACTAGGGCAAGCCCAAGATATGGTTTTGTTGTTTTTAGCAGTTTAATAAAAATACACCAATCTTGAGCTGTCTCCAGTCTTTAGTTTCATATTCAGTGCTGACAAGGACACAACAGCAAAAAAGCACACAGAAAGCATACTACCGCTAGATAGATTGTATGCCATAATATGCAATTGCACACCTTCGGTGGTTTTGAAAAGAGCCGTTTGGGTTTGCTTGAGATATTTACAAACAATACAATACATGAACAAAGTACAAACTATGTACAAAGTTAAAAAAAGGACGCCTGGCAGATGTGAAACCTCGAAATTATATTTTTTTAAGTTATATGCATAAAAGAACAGATTACTACAGGAATTAGATAGTTATTGTGGCCGAAGTAGGAAAAGGGGAGATCTCCCGCCGGGCAAGGTGTTCTGCCCGGGGAGCGGCCAACACTCCATGTGATAGTTCGGAGATGTTCTATATATACTGTTTATGATTCGGAATGTTGATAGCGTGATTTAGGCTTCGGTGTATTTCGCTTGTGGCACGACGACAGCGCCGCCACATCACCTCCCTGCTCAGACCGGAGGTCGATAGTGCAGTCGAATTGTCGACGAATGTGCAAGTGCCAGGAGATTGCCTTGTAGTCTGCGGTGAGTCGAGAAGAAGGCAAGTAATCTGCGAGAGTGCCGTGAAGCAGAGGCGAGCAGTAAGGCTCAGAGCCGTGCCGCGCAACACTGTATGGCGCAGAGAGTAGCTTGATTTTGCAGCGCTTTAAAATGGAAAGATGGGTCTGCAGGCATGTGCTGTTCCAATGGCAAAGTGTCTCTTCCGTTACTTGGGGAACCAGAAGAACCTTTGAAAACTCTCTTTTTATATGATGCTAATGAGTCACGGCGCTTTTTAAACAGGATCCGGAAATATAACTCACGCTTTCAAATGACGTCCTTCGGAGTTGAC